AGGGCTTGAGCGAAATGATTGATCCTAAATGGCTCAGGTGCCCATTTCCCCTTTCCTTCTCTTTGCGATTGTGCAAATTAAAACCACATCGGACAGAATGTTCAATCAGCAAGAAGTTCAAATACTCATCGGTGGCGTCAATTCCTTGATCGATCTCGATGATCTACGACGGCACACAAATTATGGTGGGCTATACGACGACAAGCACGAGAACATTGTCGATTTTTGGAATGTATGCTCTCATTTCGCCCATATCATTTTGTGACTTCCGTTGATACCTTCCCTTCAGGTTGTCAATACATTTGACCAAGATCAACGTCGCGCATTGCTAAGATTCGTTACCAGCTGCAGTCGGCCCCCACTTCTGTAGGTTCATCTTGCCTCCGCTCCTGTTCGTGTACTTTCCCTCATTCTCACGATATTCTAGCGGATTCAAAGAACTCGTTCCTAATTTTAGCATTCGGGATGCTGGCGCCGACCCACAGCGTTTGCCCACTGCCAGCACCTGTATCAATCTCCTGAAGGTGCGTTTTTATACCAATTTACATCTTTCTGATATTGACCCTTGACCAGCTTCCGAGGTATCCAAACGCGAGAATATTGAAGTCAAAGCTGCTTCAAGCTATAAGCTCTGGCGCTGGGTTTGATTTGTCGTGAAGAACGAAGACATCTGATAACTTGTAGACTTGAAGCATATTCAGAATTGAGAATTGAAGAAGTGAAATTCCATCGGAAAGTGATTCCGAAGAATTATGCATCCCTCATTTTCAAAAGGCTACCTTACCAAGGTCGCAGATGTGCACGCAAAGGCTTACTTGGTTGTGCTACACCTCCGTCAGCGTTGAGATAAAGCGGCTAAAATCTGAACGTAGTAGCAAACAGCCACACCAAGAACTATGTCGCCGTGGACGTTGTGGATGAATCTGACGATCAAATCTAGATTGAGCTGGAGATAAGTAACGGAGCGTGACGTGACTCGATCAAGCCTGATCAAGCCTCATTGCGATTCTTTATTCACACCACTTTTGAGATTCCGCCGAAAACCTTATTTCTCAAAGTGGTAAAACGTCACATATCCAGCGGGAAAGTCGCTACGCGTCTAACTTCAGCGCTACCTCATCCATCCCGCTCATCCTTGTTCTTGGCGATACCCTATTTATTCTTCTTTTTCTATGTCTGTTTTCCCATAATAATGTCTTACCACGCCTTTAAACTCGCTCCCGCCCCATTGAGTCGCCTTCCTTCGAATCGCTCTTTCCTCCAGCCATCGGCAAAGCAATGTTATCGTCACTACCGCAAAACGCCCACTCCGCCAGGCCATCCCTCGTTCAGGACAGCTCTCCGGTGGATTTCCATGCTCTGAAACTCCTTGCAATTGACCGAGGAATCGCAACAAGCAACCACTCAGTCTCCTGTACCTCTGCCGGCGCCGCTACCTGGTGTGAATGACTTGATGCAGAATTTGTCCAATAATCTATCCTCTTTCTCCACACCTTGCCCTTCCTCCTTCAGTGCCAATAGCGGATTCCTGAACTTTCGAGTGCACACGCCACCGCCTTCTTTGGGACCTGTCCTGGGCAAGTCCTGGGCTCCTTGGAATATGATTTGGCTCGCGATAAGTTTAAAAATAGATGGGAAAGCTGGGAGGAGTTCAATTCTTGGCTGAAGGATGAGCAGAAGGAGAAAACAGTTGAGTTGCGGCTTTCAAAGACTGTTCATGGCGACGGCACTACTTTTAAGGCAACTTTCTATTACCTATGCTCACGACATGGAACCGGCGGTGCTAAGACCTATCAAAAAAAGCACCCTGAATGGCATCGAAAGGTTACAAACAAACGCACGGACTGTCCTTGTTCGCTTCGTGTCAAAACGTACCCTGGATCTTCTGCTGTTCTTGGGTTCTATGAG